GACGTAAAGTAAGTCACGCAGTGGAATTCTACGCGGCTGCATAATGGCTGAAAGGAAACGATTATCGAAATCAAAATCGGACAGTTGGAGCATACTAGAGGCACAATCGAAAAGTCATATTATAGAACCGAACTATCTGACGCTTTCGCACCACAAGTGGTGGTCCCTATCCTTCTGGGTGATGAAGGGCTCGAATTGGCTGAATGCTATTTGGCAGTATGTTATTACCGACAAAGACAAAGGAGACTGGAATGGCCATTTCTGGCTTATTAGCCGTCGTCAGCCAGTCATAGCCAACACCAAAGTGTGGAACACCCGAGGCTCGAATTCGCCACCTGTTAGTTAGAAGCCCACGCCTCTAACCGCTGGGCAACGAGCCCCTTGCCCTGTCGGTTTCGATCGGTAATATACAATGGTAGGGGGCCCTCACCGATCGTTCTTACGGAGCCTCACTCGTTCCGTTGTGCTTTACGGGCTCTCTTTCTCGAGCCCAACCAGCAGCCACACAGCTGCGCATTATATAGGCGCTATGTCATTACCGACGCTGTGCGGCTGCTGGTTGAGCTGGAGAAAGAGAGCCCGTAAGGCACAACGGAACGAGTGAGGCTCCGTAAGAACTATCGGTGAGCGCCCCCTACCATTGAATGCTATTTTCTACGTCCCCTCCTCTGTGATGTGGACGGGCCAGCATCGAGGAGAAGAATCAACAAAGAACTTGTATGCGACTATACATCGGAAGTGTCCTCAAAGTTCAACAAGGGATGAGAAAATGCAGTATAGGAAGCTACAGACAGAGCCGCCTTGTTAAGAACACGAAAAAACGTCTCTATATTCAGGCGAATTGAGAAAGGTCAGAAAAAATGCTGTGGTTTCAGCTCAAAGACCTGTCCGGTCACGAACTACCCAGACGCCAGGGAGTGGGGAAGGGGGGGGCAAGTAAGACGAGGGCGTATTTCTGGGTGGTTTGCCAAACTGACTGTACCAGCGGCTTTGTTTCCTTACCAAGGCTTCAGAGTGGACAGTGAAGCGGGCTGAAGAGTTTTGGACGCCCATCCAACATCTAGAGGCAGAGATAGACGAGGTGGTGATGTCGTTCGACGTGACCTCGTTACTCATCTCTAACCCACCCGAGGCCTGGCCTTCAACACTACTGACGCCTTTCTCCCAGAAAATATGATGAAGCCGACCAACAATTCAGGCGAACGCACGTCATCGCGTTCCATGAACTGTGTCTCAAGACTCATTACATTCAAAATTCACGGAAAAAAAAGAGGAGGGTGCCAATAGGCTTATCACTGTCTAGACTGATTGCTAAAGCGGTTCTGCAGAGGTCCAGGTGGCTAGTCTTCGGCTGGTATCCCCAAAACTTTAGGTTAAACACGTCCAGTTTTACTGTTAAACTCTATCTCTACCGGCATCCAGTCAACTATGGATGAAGTTTACAATCAGTAGACCCTCCTTGACGCACAGACTGCAAATATGGCAGACGACGAAACAAGGACAATGATCTACTGCAAGACAACTAGAACAATGGAAGCGAATATGCGAGTTGCAGGTTCTTGTTGCAAAGCAGATGAATGCGCGATCGCTGGGAAGGTACGTGTATTAATTCGAGCTCTCGGCCTCGTACAGGAGGCCATCATCAGAGACCCGTTCCTGCCACTGTCTCTGATGATGGGTTCAAATGAGAATCCGAAACGTCAGGCGAATAAGGTCCCTGTTTCAGCGACCACCTTTTCCTCTTATCCACTAGTTGCTGGAACTCGCATATTCGCTTATATCGACAACTAGAACGATGGAAGCGAATATACGAGTCGCAGGTTCGTGTTGCAAAGTAGATGAACTCGCGATCACTGGGACGGTACGTGTATTAGTTTTGAGTTCTCGGCCATCATCAGAGACACTGAGTATGCGGCGTCAAATGAGCTACCACGATAGTACGTGCTCTGTTCTCGCGGCCAAGTGTCGAGACCCAATTCCCAGCCAATTGCGCCCACAGTCACACCGCCGTGAGACGGCGTGGACTCAGTCTTATCGCGAACACCACCCCCTCCACTCTTATCCCCCTGCCTTCTTTTTTGGACTACAAAACTGCTCATTTGACGTCGCACTCTCACAGTCACTGATGATGTCCTTCTGTACGAGACCGAAAGCTCAGAGTACTGCACCTGCTGTCCCAGAGATCGCGCGTTCATCCTCTTTGCAACTAGAACTATGCGCATACTACGCTTCAAAAGCAATCACCCCGTTGATACTAAACGCAGTTGTGTCACAGCCTTCTTCCAACGGACTCAAAAACTCCGCAGCGACGACAGGGGGGGGAGAAATACTTGCACTTTCTGGACTCCGTGTTGACACCAGGTTCAGGTGGGGGAGAGGGAGAGAGTGAGGTAGATGCTGTGTAAGTCTACTTTCACTAGACACTAATTCACGCGCAATTCATTGTTCCTGCTCTCACCTTGCTGGGAGGAGCACGGTGAACATAGCCCAAACCGACGGTCAAAATCGCACATCCCTATTTGAGACCAACGGTTATCTAAAGTCCTTCGTACAAAAATGCCTCAGGTAGACCCACTGTGAGCGACCGAGAGGAGAAATGTCAAGGTCCTGGCTCGTGATTCTCAGGAGAAGAATGTTTCGGAGGTGATGACAAGAACCCGTAAATATTTTTGGATCAGTGAGACTCCTAAACCGAAATACACTGTCAGAGAGCAAACAATGAAGCCGAAAGATCGGCTACCGCGACAGAGTAACGACGATATGCCATGACAGAACTGCGATGTTAAGTATGGTGGTGAAACTTTCAAACGCCTCCGAACCTGCGCTCGATTAACCCCGAGGACAAACTGTCTGTGGTCGAGTCACATCATTAACTGAGCCGTGGGCCCACATCCTGCCTACCAGGCGCCAATCACAGGGCCTGAATCGTCGAAACTATCGCAATTTCTACCGAGGAAAAAGTGCAGGTCTTCAGTCAGATTAGACCAGACAAGTCTCCTGGATCCGACGGGATTCTTCAGTTGATACTTGAGGAATTGTCCGTGGGACTGCCGATTCCTCTTTTACCCTTTTTGAGCTCTTTTCGGGGTGAAAAGCAACCAACGTACTTCCATTATAGAAAGGAGGCAGTCGGATACTTGAAACAACTTTAGGCCGATAAGTTTGACTTGCCTTCCTTGCATGACAGTGAAAGTGCTTATAGAGCATGCCCTGATACAGTTTTCTGATGAAAATGACATGCTATGGGATTTCAACATGGTTTCCGGCGAGGAAATTCCAGTTTCTCGAATCTTCTGACCTCTCTGGAGGTGTGAATTACAGCTTCGGAAGAGGGATTCAAGGCAAGTCTAGTGTAGATAGATTTCTAAAAGGCCATCGACAATATCCCACATCAAAGCTTTTTGCCTAAACTGAGCGCACATGGTGTCTCAACTTTTGTTGGTCGAAAACTGCCCGTCTGTGGGAGAGACATCAATTGGACTCAGTTCTCAGACATTTACTCTTCGTGCTCTATGCTAATGACAGTCTTCGTGAACTCGATTACGGCACGATCATGTTTGCTTATGACGTTAAACTCTGGAAATTCACTAGGGGCCCAAATGTTCAGATACAGTGAGTGACCGATCTCTCGAAATGTTGAACAAAATTCTAAAATGCGTTTTCAATAAGAAGGGGTTACTTAGGCGGGATTGTAAAACTGATAATCTTGTGGCCTGATCCTATAATATTTCGGACTCGGCAGGATGTCAGCTTTTGAATGCACCTCTTTTCAGTCTCCTTTAGAAACCGTAGTCGGTAAAAACTGACTACCTAAGTAACATGCATTTTTCACATCGACCTTCGATGGCCTTAAAAATTCAAATATATCTTATAAAAACTTAAATACATATATGCACTCTTTCACTTGTTTGATAGGGAACCACGTCATCTTCATATTTTGTGCTCGAAGAAGGAGTAACTTTCGGTTTTAAAACAGCTTATAATTGTAGGATTTTTAGGACAGCATCGTCTGATAGAGAATCACGTCAACTTCATATTTCATACTCAAAGAAATAGTATTATTAGGTTTTAAAAAAGTTTCTAATTATGGGATTCTTTAAAACCATGCAATGTCCATTCATACATCATCGTACCTGCCCGTTTACCACTGCCCCTCATGAAATGTACAACATAATCCGCAGCAATTGCAAAATTGTTGGACTCTATGTGGTGTCTTTTTAAAGGCATGCATCTTGTAGACTGAAATCGCCAAGCGCTAATCTAACGACTGATCAGGCTCCAAATTACTCGGGAATTGGGAAATTTTTTAAAACCTAATTATACTATTTCCTTGAGTATAAAATATGAAGATGACGTGGTTCCCTATCAAACAAGTGAAAGAGTGCATATATGTATTTAAGTTTTTATAAGATATATTTGAATTTGTAAGGCCATCGAAAATCGATGTGAAAAATGCTTGTTACTTAGGTAGTCAGTTTTTACCGACTACGGATTCTAAAGGAGACTGAAAAGAGGTGCATTC